CTCCCTCCCTGAGGTTTCTCGGAATCTGGCGCCTGTGGCTTTTCTCTTGGTGAGAACCCGGCTTGTTTCCTCCCGCGTCCTATCCGCTCAGACAGGAAGCCCCACCCTTGCCCTGTAACCCGCCCCCCACCGTCTGTGCTCAGGTGGCGGGCTCCCGCCAGGGCAGGCAGAGGTCGGCCCACTGGCACCCTCATGGGGCGTCTCCCCGAAAAGGCCACACCCCGCGGGTCTTTCCCCAGTGCCGGCTCCATCAGGGCCGCTGCTCTGTGCCGCCTGGACCGCCCTCCTGGCCCCACGTGTTTGGGGTCATTGTCCTGTTAACGTAAAAAACCATTGAAACCTGTAAAGAATTGTTGTGAGTTTATTTGAGCCAAACTGTCGACATAGGCCGGGAAGCAGAACCTCAATGAATTGAGATAATGCTCCGGAGAGTGGCCGGGTTACATCTGCATTTATACATTGCAATCAAAGGAGGGATGGAGGTGGGTTACATGAAATCCATTGGTGATAGATTAAGGAGGAGGGATAAAGCAAAGCAGGGAAACCCCTGGGATTGGATAAAAAGTAAAATGACGGACACATGCTTAGGTGGGTGTAGGATCAATTAACATGATAATGAAGGGATTTGTGGTCTCTGTCCTGGCGCCCAGGCACATTAGGTTGTGCCCCAGGGGCTCCAGAAAAAGGGAAGTCACAAGTGACCCAGACATTTCAAGGGTGTGTTATCATAGATGCAAAAAGACAGATAGGCTCAGTGAAGGTAAAGGTTGACCTTGTCAGTGAAGATCCTGGCCTAGGAGGTAACTGCCCACCATCACTGCTTTAGTTCAAGTTTAATGTCAGACCATCCTTTGTGGTGACTTTAGGTCTGAGTTTGCAAGACCCACATGCAGGCCTCCCCTGAGCTGTCAGGTCAGCATGTGGCCCCTTTCGTCCACAGTCCTCCCGGGGCTGGAGGGCTGCCTGCTTCCTGGAGTGGAATTTGGGGGTGAGGCTCCCTGAGCGGAGAGGGGCTGCAGGACCAGTGGCTGCCCCGCGGCTGGGTGCAGGCGCCGGTCACGGGCTGCTCACTCGCTCCGTGGGCCTGGACAAGACCTTCCCCTGGAGCCCTCGGTCCATGTCCCTGCCCCGGGTCGGGCTGGTCCAGGTCTCCTGTTTCCTGGTGACAGCCGTGGTGAGCAGCACTGTGACTGACCGCCTCCCCCCACCCCCAGGGGAGCCCCCACCCCTCTGGGCCAGTTCTGTGGCACAACACTGTCCCCCAGCGCTCCCGGCGGGGGAGGGAGTGACGGGCCTCGTCCCGCAGCCCCTCGCCCTCAGTGGGTGTGTGTGGCCCGTGGTGTGGATGCAGGCACAGCGGCTCTGGTGCCCCCGAGTCTCCTGGACACGCCCAGGCCCCTTGTACCTTGGGAGTCGAGACCCTGTGTCCCCCAGGAGCCCACCTGGGCCCCCAGTGCCAGGAAGCTGAGCTCACCTGGTGTGAGCAGTGCCTCTTTGTTTTGAGATGTTTTCTTGGAGAGCTCATTGCTGCAGGCCGCTCACCCCACCCCACCGTATAGGCCAGAAGCAGTTTTTGAAGTTCGTCCTGTTTGGTGAAATCCAGAACTGGGGGGGGGGTGGCGGGGGGGAGCCGTGGGACCCCCAG